GGGTTAATAGGACACTTCCACCTATGAGTAGGGGAGGAGGAACATGGCAGAGGGAAAGGCACAGCTTGGTGGCATGGCAGACCTGGATGCCTTCTGATACAGGAAAAATGGGGCGCTAGAGGATGGCCATGTCCCAGGTGTCAGGCACGTCCCTGGGACACACCGTGCCAAGTGAGGGTCCTTGGCTCTGTGCAGGAAAGAATTCAAAAGCGAGCCATAGTTGAGTGAAGGTAGATTTATTCAGAAAAATACATTCTCCATAGACAGAACGTGGGCCATTTCAGAAGGGAAGAGAGAGAGACCAAGCCCTAGAAGACACACATTCCGTAGGCAGAATGCAGGCCACCTTGAGAGGGAGAGGTGGCCCCAGAGCTCGCGGTGTCGTTCAGGAAGGTGAGATCGGCCACAAGGAGTGGGGTTGTCAGCTTTTATGGGCTCATAATGTAACAAGTGGGAGGATTATTCCAACTTTGGGGAAGGGGCCAGCATTCCCAGGAACTGGGCCATCACCCACCTTTTCACCTTTATGCTCAGCATTGAAACTATCACGGCGCCTGTGAGAGTGTCATGCAGCGTGCTCTTGTATTACAATGAGCACACAGCGAAGTGAAGGGCCTGCTGGGAGTTGACTCTTTTGCCATCTTGGTGCTAGTGGCTGTGTCATTCTTTTAATGGTTGTGCCCTGCCCCCTTTCCTCCTGTCTCAGGTCCAGCTCTTGCCCTCTTTGAGCCTCCGTTTGCTCTCCTGTTACGTGGGTGTCTTCCCTCCTGCCATCACTTGGTTCTTTCTGCCTGATCCCAGGGTGCTGGCCCAGAGCACTGAGGGGAGGGTACTGTATTATCTTACTGGCAGAACATGTGGCACACAGTGGGTTTACTTTACGTAGAGCACCTGACACACAGAAAGGATTTTATGTACACTACCTGGCACACAGTAGGCATGCTTTATGTAGAACACCTGGGATATGTAGACAGGATTTGTGTAAAGTATCCAGCATATAGTAGGTACACTTTATGCAGAGTACCTGGCACATAGTAGGTATGCTTTATGTAAAGTACTTTGCACAGAGTAGGTTTACTTTATGTAGAGCATGTGACACCGAATAGGTGTGCTTTATATAGGGCATCTGGTGCACAATAGGCATACTTTATGTAGTGCACCCAGCACACAGTAAGTGTGCTTTACACAGAATATCCAGCACTTAGTAGGTGTCCCTTAGGTAGAGCACCTGGCACTTAGTGGGCATCTTGTGGAGCATCCCCAGCACACAGTAGGCATGCTTAATATAGAACACGAGATGTAGAGTAGACAGGATTTATGCACAGTACTTGGCACACAGTGGATGCACTTTCTTTAGCATACTTGGAACATAGTAGGTACTCTTTTTATAGAGTTCCTGAACACTAAAAGATGCATTTTGAGGTACCTAGCACACAGTAGGCACTCTTTACATATAGTTCTCTACCCAGAGTAGATTTACTTCATGTGGAGTATGGGCACACACTAGAACGAGTACACCAGCCCCTTTCCTTCTCTCCGCCTTTTTTGGGGGGATCCTGATCCTTCCCACCTTCCTGTGGAACCCTCCTCTGTCCTCTAAGACGCTCATCCAACAACCAATTCCCCAGATGAAAAGACTGAGCCCAGAAAGGGTCAGCACAGATAATAGTCAGAGCAAGGGCGAGGCAGAACTCCACTCAGGATCTCCCAGCTCTGCCCTCCCCTGCCTGGACCCTGTTCTCTCACGGCCCCTCACACAGCCTTACCCCTTGCCCCTCCAGTTGCCCTGTTCTACCTGGGCCCTTTATCCTCTGAACTGGTGTGGGTAATCCACAGCTACGCTGGTTTATCCAGTCCTGCTCCCAGCAGTCAAATCTCAACCCAGGCCCTGGGCTTCTTGGAAGCAGGACTTGAACTCCTGCACAGTGTTTACCCCAGAGATCGGAGGCTTCATGTCTCTGAGGTTCCTGATTCTGTGTCAAGAAATGGTGCGTGACACTTTCCTGGCCCATGTGTGGAGAGGAGCCCCAGAGATGTTTGGCCTGCTCAGCTGGCACCGGAATGTTCACGCTTACCTGCTGCACCTTGGCCTTGGAAGTGCAGGGCCAGGTCTAAACTTGGTGACCCAGAGTCACATTTGCCCCAACTTGCCCCTGGCTGAGCCCTGAGGATCCACCTTCCACACTGCGTGACCCTGGGCTGGTTCACAGGCCTCTCTCAGTAACACTACCCCCATCCCCGCCCTACCCATGGATTTGGGCAGCTACCGGATGGGGTGGAGGTAAGCAGGCTGCTGGGATTGGCTGGCTTAGTCCGGCCCCTGGCAGCTTCCCCTAGATCAGGGGCCAGGGGCAAGGACATCCCAGGAGGAGGGGAGAGGAAGTTGTGCAGGAAGAGCTGCTCCTGACAGAAGGTACCAGGCTGGGGGGCAAGGGGCTGGGGGTCCTGGCCTGGGGTGAGAATGCTGCCCAAGGCAGGGTGGCTCCAGGGAATGAGCTGGCCTGGGAGATGACTAGATCTCAGTGGGTAACTAACACTCTCTGTCTCTGTCTCTCTCCCTCGTCCTCTGGATTTCCCTGGGCCTCCCTCTGCTCTCTGGGTCCCTGTC